ATATATATATATTCGAAGTGACTATTCCCAGTGACACTGGGGATAGGTACAGAAACTATTCCCAGTGACAACGGAACTCTTTTGCATTTAAAAAAATCAGAAGTCTTTGCATTGTAGACTCTCTTCCTCTTCTCACTTCAGTTCAGCCTACTTTTGTTCTCTTCTCTTTGTCTTACTTAGGGCTTAGACTTGACCGAAGAAAAGGTCTAGATCTAGATATAGAACTAGAACAAGAACTAGATCTAGATCTAGATCTAAAAGAAAGAAGAATGGGGAAGGATTTCTACCTGTCCTGTACCGAGGTCTCGAAAATCCTTATGTAGATCGTGATCTACACGTACATTTATATTACGATTGCGAAAAACAAGCAAGCATAGAATGATCATTCCTTTTTCTTTAAAAAATTCTTCCACTCACACCAGAATCAACTTTAGTTTAGTAAAATCTAGAATCAAGATCTAGATCTAGATCTGCATTAGATCTAGTCTAGTATTTAGTAACCCATCAGCATCATGCCCATATAGATCTGTGTGGAAACAATAGATCTAATGGGCCTGTCTGTTCTCAGTAGATCTAGATTCACACGTACATTTAAATTACCACTGAATAACAAGCAAGCATAGAACGATCATTCCTTTTTCTTTAAAAAAAATTCTTCCACACACCAGAATCTACTTTAGTTTAGTTAGATCTATAATCTAGATCTACACTAGATACAGATAGATCTAGTCTAGTATTTAGTAACCCATCACCATCATGCCCATATAGATCAGTGTGGAAACAATAGATCTAGGCCCAATGGGCCTGTCTGTTCTCAATGTCACTGGGAATAGTTTCTGGGTCTATTCCCAATGACACTGGGAACAATTCTGCCCTAGGCCCTCTTGTCAGTGGTTCCTTGGCCTATTCCCAGTGACACTGGGAATAGTTTCTGGGCCTATCCCCAGTGTCACTGGGAATAGTGCTTTCCATATATTTATATAAAGTGAAGTTGTTCCCGCGTCCGATCCGGACATTGGGGACTGCCTTGTTAGTGAGACAATTTCCTGAGCATTCGGCATATTGTGGTAGGGTGGCCAGTTCCTTTCCATGCCGCCTTTACTTCCCCAACTCGAAGTCGAAGTCAGGTACCCATTACTGCTGGGTGAGCAGGAGGGGGCAAAAAAAATCCCGAGTCCTAACCGAGGCTAGAAACCGGACTTTCTGCTTCGGAGACGAGCGCATACATATGCATATAAGATAGATAGATAGATAGATAGAAAGTGTTTATTGTTCGTGGCCTATAACTATACAATGCAGGGTGAGTAAGGCTATGGCGTTGATGAGTACGGTCGGCTCCTTTTTTTACTCCCATTGCCCACAACCCATCGACAACCGTTGGCCAACTGTTACTTGCATGTCGTAGTGTGGTACCGTGCTAAGAGGATTGGCACTTTCCGCTCATGGACCGTGAGTCTGTTTCTGACAACTGATTGGAAAAGTGACAGTGGGGTTGGAGGGGGGGGGGGGCTTTGTTTGTTCCTTGTTCAACATAAACAACGGCATTGGCATGATATTCCAATAAAGACGAGTGAAATCAGGACTATTAGGATTTGAACTTATGAATCACAAGAGTTTATAGTATAATCTTTATTATCAAACTGATTACTCTTGTGAGAGTGGCGTTGGTAGCCCAGTGGTTAGGCTACGGTACTCGTAATCGTGAGATTGCGGGATCGGGAGTTCGAGCCTCAGCTCCGTCCGACGCTGTGTCCTTGGGAAACGCACTTTACACGAATGTCCCACTTGGCTCGGTCCTTTCGGAGATGGAAGTTAAACTCGGAGATCCCGTCTCTTAAATAACCTGATGGTGTTAATGGGGACGTTGACCTATACCGATTCACAATGTTTCACTCGTGTGGGACCTGAAGCCTACTACGACAACATTTTCAAATGTGGTGAAATCAGGCGCTCATCAAAATAATGAAGTCGAAGAAATCAACATTTTACCGCCCGTTGGGCAACTTTTATCGATTTTTTATTTTTGACTCAATATCTTTTATGTTTATTTAAAAACATGTTTCTGTGTTGATTTTACTATAAGCTGTAGATCAAAGGCACCCAAAAAAATATGTAAATTTGCTGTTTCCAAGGACACTCAAGTTTTGGAAGTCGCCAACTGAGGTAGCCATTTTCTCGCTAATATTACTCCTGATACCAGGCGACTCCAACCTCCCTCAATAACAGAATATTTATGCAACTTTTCTACAAGATTGATTGATATTTTTATCTCCAAAAGCAATATAAGAATTGCATTCCAAAAAGCTTGACATGAGGTGAAACTCAAATTTTTTTAATGCCAAATTTGCCCCACTACCTTAAGAGTGCCAACATGAACGTAGAAATCTACTGGTCACTCACTCTAACGAGACAATATTTTACAAGTGGCCATTCATCTATTACTTCAAGAACAGGAAATTAACGAATCAGAACGGGAAACACCTTATTCTTTTAGAAGAGCTATGGATGTCAGCAACAACAAAATAGTCATTAAAGGGGATATTATTTGGTGACCTCTCACCTCCCACCTGCACCTGCTCCCCCTCCTATCCCTCTTTCCCTGTTACCAAACTCACCTCCTTTCCATTGTCGTCCCACTTGACGAAGAACTGTTTTATCGTTGTTTGAAAGTAGCATTCATTCTTTTTCAGCAGTGCTGACACCACTTACCTAGTTCATAGGCATTGAACAAAATTGTTGTTGGTTTTTTAGATGTGTATTGAACAATTATTGTCTTTTCAAATTTGTATTGAACAATTATTAACTTTTTAATTTTTTTTTCAAATATATCGTATGCATTGAACGATTATTGTCTTTTTCATGTACATTGAACAAATACTTATAGTCTTTTTGTCTTAGATGTATACTCGATCGTTTCTGTTCCAAATGCATTGCCTGATTCGCCCAACAGGATTTTTATTCACACTATTTTTCACAGGCAACCATAAGTGACACTACAGGATTTAGTTGGAATTCCAGGTAAAAATCAGTTCATTTTCTTTTGTGTCAGTTCTGTGCAGTACTGTTCCTTGTCTCTCTAACCCTAAGTACACGCTTTAGGCATCCAAATAATACTTTTCTGTCACATAGTTGCTGAACGGGCTGTATTTTGCTCAAATCTCTCTTCTGTAGCCATCAACATATGAACTGAAAACATCCCCGGACTACCCCAAAAAAAAGGTAAAACAACTTAGTTCCAGCAAACAAGGAAGGAAGCGAGGACATTCATAAGGCCTGCAGTTCCTAGCAATGGTCAATACCTGCCAACGGTCAGTCACAGCTCACCAAGCATGGTCTATGAGAGGATTAGGGGACACGACAGTTTGCTTTGAACTTCATGGCTGGCTGACTCATGAATGGGCAAGGAACGCATAATATGAGTTATGCTTGTATTTCTGTTACTTCATGAGAAGATTTGTAAGCTTTGGATTGCACCGTATAATATATATTATATATAAACACATA